TCTTTCCCTCATTCTCTCTCTGTGTCTCTCTCTGGTCAAATTAAAATAAATTAATGAATAAATAAAATTAAATAAATAATTTTAAAAAAGAGGAAAAACCTCTCCAAAAAAGAAAGGAAAAAAAAAAAAAAACAAGGGATCACAAGAAGTTTGAAAGAAATACAGAAGTAAGGGCTACAAGACCTCATTAATTTAGGTCTGATTAGTTTTAATACTGAGTTTTGAATTACCTAACTCAATATATAAAATTCTATTAGATAAATTTGAAATAGTTTTCATTTTTGAATTTTCAAGATCTTATTTTGGTGCAGGAAAATGCTGCCTATAATTTTTCATTTTGTAAAGAATTATTTTTAAATTTTATATTTATTTTAAAAGATTGATCAGAGACAGAAAGAGAAAGGGAAAGTGAGAAAGCAAGCCATCAGGTCCAGGACTAGAACTGCTGTTGGCCATGTGGGAGTCCAGTGCCTTAACTACCATGTTACCTGCTGGCCCCTTGTCTATAATTTTTTAAAATACAAGTTTTCAATATGTTAAGAATTCTTTCAAAATGGCTTCAAGTTCTAGATTCTAGTAGTTAAATCTGGTATAAGACAAACATTTTGAAAGAGAAATATGACTAGAACCCTATTGCTTATTGCAAATACGTATTAAAATATATTGGTTTCTGGGAACCAGCAGTTAGCGTAATGGCTATGTCGCTGGATTCCCACGTAGTCGACCGCGGTTCACATCCTGGACCCGGTGGCTTAGAACTCACGCCGTGCGCATGTGCGTGCGTGCCCAAGATCCCGAGAGGAGAATGGAGGAGAAGGTATTGCGGCATGACCATCCCCCCTGGAGCGTGATTTCTTGCTGTCTCTATGTCTCTGTCTGTCTGGCGAGCGCATGCGCCCTATAGCGAAAACCTCTCAAAAAAAAAAAAAAAGTATTGGTTTCAGGGCCAGCAAGTGGTGTGGTGTTAAGGTGCTGGAAACTCCCACATGGCCAACCATGGTTCAAGTCCTGGACCTGGTGGCTTGCTTTCTCACTTTCTCTCTCTTGTCAAATTAAAATAAATGAATGAAGAAATTAAATTAAATAATTTAAAGAATGTATTGGTGGGGCCAGCAGGTGGTGTCATGGTTAAGGATGCTGGACTCCCACATGGCCAACCATGGTTTGAGTCTCGGACCTGGCAGCTTGCTTTCTCACTCTCTCTCACTCTGTCCCTCTCTGGTCAAATTAAACTAACTAAATAAATTTTTAAAAATGTATTGGTTTCTGCACTTAATTTATGTGGACCATTGTTTTTGTATTAAGTGCCATAGAATCACATTTATTTTGAAATGTTTTGTTACTCAAAATTTTAATAAGCCTTGGGAACCAGCAGTTAGCGTAATGGCTATGTCGCTGGACTCCCACATTGTCGGCCGCGGTTTGCGTCCTGGACCCGGTGACTTAAAACTCACATCGGGTGCGTGTGCATGTGTACCCAAGATCCTGAGAGGAGAATGGAGGGACAGGGGTTGCGGCGTGACCATCCCCCCTGGGGGATGATTTCTCGCTTTCTGTCTCTATGTCTCTGTCTGGCAAACACACGCGCCCTATAGCGAAAACCTCTCCAAAAAAATTTTTTTTTATTAAGCTTTTCGGTTCTTCCCCATTACTTTTTTTTCCCACTGCATTAAGAAGTAATAAAAGCAACATATGCCTAGTATAAAAATGCTATCTATACTGGAATGTATAATATAAAATGTTTGTTTTTCCCTGCTTACAGTTCCCATCCCCTGCTCCTCCTTCTAGGTAATCACTCTTAACAGTTGTATCCTTTTTTTTGGAGAGGTTTTTGCTATAGGGCATGTGCACTCGCCAGACAGACAGAGATAGAGAGACAGAAAGCGAGAAATCACCCCCCAAGGGGGATGGCCACACTGCAATCCCTTCTCCATTCTCCTCTCGGGATCTTGGGCACGCACACACATGTGCCCAGCGTGAGTTTAAGCCGCTGGGTCCGGTACTCGAACCGCAGTCGACCACGTGGGAGTTCAGTGACATATCCATTACACTAACTGCTCATCCCCAAAAGTTGTATCCTTTCAGATCTTGAATTTTAACATCATTATTACACACACATGCACCTGTCTATATAATCCTTTTTCTTTTTCACAAAAATGGTATTATACCATATTTACTCTCTCTTTTTTCAATATAACTATATGTAATTATATAGAGATTTCATTCCTTTAAACAGCTCTATAGTATTTTTTCTTTTATTCTCCCAGCAGACAATGTGTGAAAACATTTTTCTTTATACCACACAATTTTTAAAAATAATATTCTTACAAAGAATATTACTTCTATAAATAGAAAATGAATTATTAAGAAGAACAGTGTGTGAGAATTCCTATTTCCTCATACCATTGCCAACACTGGAATTATCAATGTTTAAATATTTTGGAAATGTGAGCGGTGATCTGTATGTGATCTATAGTGATCTATCTATATATATCTATAGGATGCGCGCATTCTCCAGAAAGACAGAGTCAGAAAGCGAGAAATCACCCCCCAGGGAGGATGGTCATGCCATGATCCCTTCTCTGTTCTCTTGGGATCTTGGGCATGCATGCACACATGCCCCTGCGTGAGCTTAAGCCATTGGGTCTGGGACTCGAACCATGGTCAACTACATGGGAGTCCAGCAACATAGCCATTATGCCAACTGCTGGTCCCCAGCTGTATAATATTTTAAAGTACTGATATATCAAAGTTATTTAACTATTTCTCTAGTAGTGGACATTTAAGTAATTTCCACTTTTTCCTTATTATAAACAAGTATTTCTCCATATTTATAGAACTATTGCTATAGAATGGACCATTAGAAGTCAAATTGCTAGATTAAGAGTATGGAGGGCTGGCATTATGGTGCAGTGCTTAAGTGCCATGTAGAAAAGCTGGATCTCACATGACCAACTGCAGGTTCAAATCCTGCCTAGGTGGCAACATGTCAGGTAGTACACATGCCCAGGATCCTGATGGGGTAGAGAAAGGAAGAAAAGGAATGGGCAAGAATCATTGAGAGTGCTCTGTCTCTCTGTCTCCCCCCCTCTCATATATACATACTCTGGCATTACAAAAAGAGAAAATATGAGCCCGACAGGTAGCATGGTGGTTAAGGTGCTGGATTTCCATGTGGCTGAGAACAGTTTGAGTCCTGGACTTGGTGGTTTGCATTCTCTCTTTCTCTCTCTCTCTCTCTGTCTCTCTCTGGTCAAATTAAAAATACAAATTAAATTAATTGTTTTTTTTAAAAAAGAGAAAATACACATTTAAACATTTACTAATACCAAGCTGCTTTCCAAAAGGGTTATACCAGTTTATACTCCCAGCAGACAAGGTATGAAAACGTTTTTCTTTATATCACACAATTTTAAAAAATAATATTCTTACAAACAATATTACTTCTATAAATAGAAAATGAATTATTAAGAAGAACAATGTGTGAGAATTCCTATTTCCTCATACCGTTGCCATCACTGCAATTATCAATGTTTAAATATTTTGGAAATTTGAGCAGTGATCTATATGTTGGTGAGCTTTTATTTTGATTTGGGTTTTATTACGGTAGGTTTTACCAGTAGTGTCCCTTAATTAGGTACAATGGGTGCTGGAAATATACTGAAAGTTTCTCCTTAGAACCTACTGTGTCCTAGATAAACTATTCTTTAGGCAAGCTTGATCGCTGCTGGAGTCTGAGGAGAGTTGGTAGGATCTGTTGATTTTTTTTTTTTTTTTTTGAGAGAGATTTTTCTGTAGGGCATGTATGCTCACCAGAGAGACAGAGACAGACAAAAAGTAAGAAATCACTCCATGGTGATAGCCATGCTGCAATCCCTTCTCCTCCATTCTTCTCTTTGGATTTTGAGCATGTGTGCGTGCACTCACCTGGCATAAGTTTTAAGCCACCAGATCCAGGACTCTAACTGCAATTGAAATGCATTGGAGTCCAGTAATGTAACCCTTAGGCCTTCTGCTAGTTCCAAGATCTGTTGATTTTTTTTATACGTTCAAATTCATGATAACCTCTTGTTCTGATTTAAGTATGCTGATTAAAAAGTTTTAATGTGAGGGCCAGCAGATGGCATAGCAGTTACATCACCGGATTCCCATGTGGTTGATTGTGGTTCAAGTTCTGAATCTGGTGGCATGTGTGTGTGCATGTCTAAGATTCCAAGAGGAGAATGGAGAAAAAAGGATTGTGGTGTAACCATCCCTCCAGGGAGGTGATTTCTCACTTTCCCTCTCACTGTCTCAGTCTCTCTCTGGCAAGTGTATGCACCATAAGGCAAAAATTTCTTAAAAAAAAAAAACCTTTTAATGTGAAATATAGGTCCATGCCAAGTACTGGGTACTGGAAGAAAATATCAGTGACTACATATTCTTTGAGAGAGGAAGACTTTTTTTTTTTTTTTTTAAAGGTTTTTGCCATAGGATCACGCATTCCCTGGAGAGAGAATGAAAGGGAAAGTGAGAAATCATCTGTCTGGGGGATGGCCACACCATCATCTCTTCTTCTGGGATTTTGGGCAC